TACATGGGTAATGTTAATCCATTTTTTAAATTGGCAAGGACAAAAACACCAATATAAATACATTTTATTCTGTTTTGTATTTTAATACTTGACATTCCAATCCAAAAAAATGGTTAAATGTATTCCATGAGGCACTTGGATGACTGTCCTTCCAAAAAAGACTATTTAAATTTTTTTAACAAGATACACTTTTGTGGACAATCAGTTCTTTGCACTGGCACAAAAATGTCAAGGCATCACGAGGGACCAATTTTTCAGATAAGACTGGAAGACCAGTCTCAGGAGTCACTAAAATAGCTATTGTTCAGCCTTACTAAACACTCAGTAAGGTAAAACACTACCATAATAGTGAGAGAACTGGAGATGACAGAAATATAAATGACTTTCCATACAAACCTGTGCTGACTCTTTTTAAAACACGCACAGCTTTATTTGTCACACTGTCAACATGTAGCTCAGAGAAAACTGTCAGATATCTTTTTTTTTATTTATTTTAATTTTAATGAGGATATTAACTTAAAGAGACACTGTAATCAGAATAATCACTCAATACAGCTTTAATCCTTAAATCCAGCTTTGGAAAATATTTTTATAATGTTTATCATTAGTGCCTCCATGAAAACCCTTGTAAATGATTACTGTAATACTGTCTGGCTGCATACACAGTAATAAATATGGGGCTATTTTACACTATGCTGTCAGCACATTGGAGAGTCAGACCTCAGCTCTCTCATACAAAGCAGTGGCCTGACTCACCAGCAACCCACCTATCCTATGTGCTGGCAGAACAGAGTATTATAAACCTTGCTGCAACATTCAGCTGTGTAAAAAAATTAAAGGAGCCTTATATTTATTAGTTTTATATTAAATGTATTATTTATATCAGCCTGACTGCATTACAGTAATAAATAACAATTGGGTTTTCAATCCAATCTTCACTCCCTTGCAGAGATAGAGGTGCCATAGAATCCTCAGCATGCAACACTTTTGAAGTCAGATGCCTGCCTCTACCTACTGCCCACAATTAACCTCCCCCCTTCCCCGTCAACATCTCACAGTGTTGGGATGCTGCCATTTGACACACCTAGAGGTATCAGATGTTGAACATTCTAGCTCTGCACAAGAGATAAGGTTGGCTTCTACAGAGGTATTAAAAATGTATTAGCTGTATTTAATCAAACCTTTCATTATAATGGCACTGTCTTTTTAACTGCATGCCATTGAATATTTCAGTACTGTGTTTCCTTTGTAGATGGTGTTAAAAACAAACTTTATGATATCTGAAAGAAGGATGACTAGAACCTACTTTGGTAGGTCCTAATCCAAGAAAATAAAAAACATCCATATTTATTTTGTTTCACTGAGAATTGGGCTCCATTTTCAGAATAATTACCGTCCTTTGCTACAAGTGCAAACAACTTCAAAGCACAGCTAGAAAATAACCAAACTGTTTTAGGTTAAAGAGGAAGCTTGGTTTATTTTACCACATGCCTCTGAATGATTGAAAAGCTTTTCTGTTTAAATAGTAATACACAGCACTATAAGAAGTATTAAAAGATGTATATCTTGTGTGCTTTTTGTATGTATACAAAATAAACAAAGTCGATGCAAATTCCCCTCAAACAGTCACAGGAAATATAACATTTGTGGCAGTTTTGTTTATTTCTATATTAATTATGCAAAGTCCATTTACAGTCACAGGCCATACAAATGGTGCCTTTTGTATCAGTTCTGCACATATTTCTCGGCATGCAGAACAGACAGCTGATTGGCATGAATAGTCAAATGCAGTTTGGTATAATTACCTGCCATAACAATTCACACAAGGAGGAAAGGGGGATTACCAGCTGTGGATGCAGCTGAATTCAGCATTCAATGAAAGAGAAAGGATGAGATCCAATAAACCACAACTGCAAGGGCAGCGAGAGAGTTCTGACCATGTGCTACACAAGCTGTCAACATAAATGCATTTACTTATGACAGCAGCAACCAATTAAGTAAAGAAACCAAAACAAGAACAACAAATAAGGAAAACAAGAAAAGACTTTATATGAAACATTCTATTATAGGAAGTGTAGTAGCTTGTAAATATTCCACAGGTGGTTGAGTGTTAGGAAAGCAGCAAAAAAATATATGACAGGAGGTAATGACCACCAAAAAAGCAAATGTGCCTCTCCAAAGGGAGAAAGGACTTGTGGGTAAAGAAGAAATTGTGTAATTAAATGTCTCACCCACTGCATGTTTATAATGACAAAAGTAATCCTTCCCTAATCAGTTACGGTGTATTGGAAATATTTGAGTAAACTTCACTGCAAAGCCCTACCTTTTCACATTTGCAGGGCTTTTCACAAACGGGTGAAAAGTTTGGAGAAGGAAGGAGAAGTGATCAATCTAGGACAACACCGCTGATTTGGAAAAATGTTTCAATTCAGCTCGCTTTCAAGGTCAGCTATGTGGTCCTAGATTGTTCACTTCTCCTGCCTCCTCCAAGCTCTTCACCTTTTTGTGAATAACCCTGTTGGATTTAAACCCATAAATGGGATCCACTTGCTTCCTACTTTCTGTGTAGCCACTTCCCCCAACAGTGTTTAGAAAGAATGTGCAGAAAGGAATTGTTTGCTAGTTTTAGGGCCTTTGTCGCGTACAAATTGGTTGTGTGAAAAAAGCATAAACAACTGCTTCTCTGGCTATTCAAATTGATAGGGATGCAAAAGCAGCTTGAGAAATTTAAAGGAGATCAAATGCTGATTTAAAAAAGGGTACCAACTGCCAGTCAAATTCAACTGCTCATAAACTGTGAATGATCTGAGGCCCCATTCATACTTGGGTTGAGCATCTTTGGGTGTTTTTTCAAGTGTTTTTACAGGCATTTTTGCAAATTTTTCAGGCTTGAGCATTTTATTTGTATCCAATGCAAAGCTATTTATCTAACCCCTAATGGGTTTTTACTGATATAGTTACATAGTATTTGGGGTTGAATAAAGACATACGTCCATCAAGTCCAACCAATATGGGTCCACGCATCATCTCATTCTTAGGGATACTGGTATCCCTGGATATTACGGTCCCTCAAGAAATTGTCCAAACGTTTCTTGAACAAATCTACACTCTTGGCTGAAATCACTGCCGATGGCAGTGAGTTCCAGACCTTAATCGCTCTTACTGTAAAGAACCCTCTTCGCCCATTGTGCTGGAATTTTTTCTCCACCAACTTTAGGTGGTGGCCTCTAGTCTTTGTAATGGAGTTAATCTCAAACAGTTTGTTGCCAATGTTGCTGTCACCATTGAACATCTTGTACATGAAAATCATATCCCCCCTTAATTCCAGCGTAATCCAGTGCTCCATTAGAGAAATGTATCCTCACTTTCTATCCTGCTTACAATGGTTTCACCAAACAGGAAGTAAGGGAAAATGTGCAAATTTGACACAGACAGCAATAAAAATCTGTCAGGTGTTCTAGCCTTCCCATACTCTACTATAGAGAAGCATTTTGTTTGTCTGTGTTGCAGATAGAGAGTTTCCCTCGCCTCCTATCCCGTGCTGTTGTCAGCAGCACAGGAAGGGATGACAAATCTTTCTAATGGAGCCTTAGACAACAGTGAAAACTCGACAGGAGTTTTAACTATTGGCTTGACATACTTTTAAATTATATCAGTAAAGATTGTTTGCTGTGGTTACAAGTTCCCGTGCTCTCACTGCCTTTAGCATATGAGTTATGCCAGTTCTTTGTGTCTTTATTTTCTTAATAGCATTATGTGAATAATTCTCATTTTATTAACGTCTCAATGTGCTAGGGATGGGCAATTTTGTCAGGGTTTTGTTCAGGAGGGAATTATAGATAAGTGGCTCATATTGTGAACTGACAAATATAGCATATCCCCTGCAGTTTATACTGTGTTGATTGGGGTTAATGGGCACACACCAGGTAACCCAAAAGACCCTGGCTATGACAAAACCAGAAAACATGTAGATGTTATAACCTGTAACTGGCATATTAAAGGCCAGGGAGGTTAATTGGAACATGTGCATTAAAGATGTAACACTGATGTGATTCATGAGTGTTGAAATCACCAGTGCATCAAAACTTTGCAACATAATTCACTAATTGTCACTTTGATTAACTACCCCTAAGTTGTCTCTGTTGTTTAAAGTGGGAATGTATGGATAAAGAATCTGCTATTACTGGCTACAGGTATTGTGCTCTTATTTAATTATGCCATCTCCATTTAAAGGTTATACAAACATACTGGAATGCATGACATAATCCATTTTACAGTATCTATTTAAAACTTCTTAGATTTACTGTACGTCACTCCTATTAGTATCAGAAAACCTGATATAGGCAATATAGGTGATACAGTTTAAAGTTATTTCATTCTTGAATTCTCTTGATGAGACCATTCTTATGGCCGGCACGAATGAGCCGGAACAAGCTGGAAAAAAAATCATCAACTGAATCATTTCAACTTCTGTTACAAGATATGCTGTTTGTTTTTTTCTTAGTTGAATGCCTGTGCTTTGCAATGCAGGCTGATTATTTTTTGTTGAAGCCAGCAGGCACAAAGCCACCTCATTACCCCTTTACCGATCAGAGGTAGCCTCTGAAAATCACTGCAATATTTCTGTATGCTGTTATACTTCTTCCACGATCTGTTGCAAGTCTAGGGCCCAGTCACTGAGCAAGAAAAGTTCACAAACATGCCTTTTCTTGTTGTTTACTGATGTCTGTGTTCATGTTTCTGCCAATTATGGAGTTTAGAGAAGCTAATCCTACCATTAGCTTGTTCCCTGTGTTTCTTGAGTTACAATGCCTGCCATTTGTCTTGCCATAATTCACCTTTTGTGCAAATGAGATATATTATTACAATTTGTCATGAATATAATTTAATTAATGAAGCGAAAACTGCCAGAATATTTGGTCTGAAATATGATGCTGGCAACTTGAAGTTTGTTGACTTGTCAAGCAAGTTTGTCTCAATTTTTCCACTTTCTTTTTCAGATGTGTCCCCAATAATTGTGAACATGGTGGCAAATGCACACAAACATGGGATACCATTACATGTAACTGTGAGGGAACTGGGTACACTGGAGCCACTTGCCATAACTGTAAGTATAGGACATTTGAAATAGCTTTCATATGTTTTGCTTATGTAAAGTAGAGCTCTTGCCAAAACTTTTTTTTTTTAGTTTTGCAAAGAGATGCCATCATTTCCCATGTAATCTAAAGAACAGGACATGAAGAAGGATCTCCCCAATGATGGCAAAGACAAAAAAAAAAGCATAAACAGTATACCCAACCTGCTCTATAACAAAACGTTTTGGCAGGAGGGGGATGAACTTTTTTTTTAAATCCTTCTGCTTCTTAGTAAATATGATGACTGTGTTCAGAATTAATGGGGTTGATTTACAAAAGGCAAATTGGCTGTTAACTTTGCAAGGAAAATTTTCCTTAGCTTAGTGAATGTGGTGGAAATTCACTTTGCAAAGAAAAAACAATCACGTGCAAGGAAATTGTTTATAAAACAAGCAGTTTTGCGTGCACATAATAGGATGATGGAAGTCAGCAAAGCATCTCGTCATCAACTAAGCTAAGGTAAAATTCCCTTGCAAAGTGAACAGCTTATTTGCCTTTAATAAATCAACCCCAATGACTCTTATGACTTAAACATTCAATATGAGCAAGATGCATTGGTGTTAAAGTCAAAACAGCAACACACAAAAGTATAAAGGTTAATTTTACCCCATGTAAGAAAGTATTTTGGGAAACAAAAATAGTCTGTTCTAGAGGACAGCAGGAATACGTGGATTTATATCCTCAAGAGGGATTTATGCTTGTATGACATGTGTGAAGTGTGTTTTTAGAGCATCTAATCTATTTCGGATTTCAGTCTATTTTTGGACTTCTTGAGACTCCTATGAGTGGATGGCATTAATAATATAGGGCAGCTGTAGCACTGTCTTGTTTTTTATCTCACAAGAATGACAAGTACATAGTAGCTGAAAATTTACTGGCAACTAGACACCTAGAGGTGAGTGAGCAGATGGAACATTCAAGATCCATGTAGTTCTAGCCTTATTCATAAGTGTCCATTGTGAAAGGTGTGAGAATCTGGAGTCTATATGTCATTCTATCCTCTTCAGCCAAAACTCTCTGCCACGTATTAAGGATTACTATTTTTAGTCCTCTTGATATTTAGTTATCTCTTGTATATCTTCTCCACGTGCATCTCAAAAGTGCGTAATTTATAATGTATTTGAAAACACACTCAAGTTACACCAAACAGATTTCAGAATCACTCCTGTCTGTCAAGAGTTATTATAATCACAATTAATTTTATACTTTTCTAGTCATTAGTTTAAATTATATCACCTTGGGGCCCAAAGGGATCCAAAAGGTCTAACTTTTTTACATTTAAGCCCTGTAACAGTAGAGCTAACATGTTAATTACTGGATTCCCTTCTTTTTTCTTTACAACTGTTCTCCTTTTTGGTTAGAAGCATAATAAGCTTCATGTGTATCAGATATATCATACATGAGTTGTGTATTCCTGCCATGCTAGTTCTAGCTGCAGCTCCTTCCCTAAGCCACTATATGAAATGCTGCTTTTTGTGGCTTCCAGCACTGCCTGTCATTACCTGTGATTAGGCATGAACCTGAGCCGGCAGCAGCCACAGATAGGATAATATTAAAAGCTCCTTTGTTTTTTATTACCACAAAGTTGTAAAAGCTCTATTCTGTATGAATAAATGAACATAAGGCACAACAGGTACTTCCTAGGAGACGCGACACATTGCAGAGGCTTAAGAGGCCTAAGCAGCCCATAAACCTAGGGTCCTCTAATTATGTAAATTACATAATTATCTAAATTATGTAAAATAACTTACATTTCTGTAGTCACACAAAGATCTGTACCCTCCTATGCTTTACTATTAGTAAGCGAAGCTGTCCATATTGTCAGTATGTTTGGTATCATGTCTCACTGTAAATGCTTTATTTAGCCAATGGACTGCCTATCAGATCTATCAGGCAACTAATGGCCAACTGGAGAAGTGCACATGGCAGTCTGACAATGCTGTTGTTAAATGCTATTAATTTATAGGGATGCACAGATACTTTTCGAGTACCAGTGCCAATACTTGGCATTTTCATGAGAACTATCAGGGTTGCAGCGGTTGCAGCTGGGACCTGGCTCTGGCACTCCAGCACTGTCCTGAAATCATTAGTCTGTATTGTTTTAGAAAAACTGTCACATGACAATAAACAAAAATATATCAGTACTCGTACTTGTAAGTACTCGGCAAAGTACTAGTACTTGTACTCGCTAAACTGGTATCTGTGCATCCCTTTATTTATATTTATAAAAACAAAATCATACATTAAAACAGAGATGTACAAATCCCAGGAGCTCCGTGTGATCCTTGCAAATGAAAGCTGGCTCCTAATTTTTTAATTTTTCTCTAGTGTAGTCTTGTAGCTCAAAAGTATCGGTACTTGTACTTGTACTGAGTACTGTACTTGGTATCTGTGCAACCCTACTATTAAAGGCAGTAGATTAGCATTGTCATCCTGCAACAGGAAGTATTGTTGTTGCCAAGATCTCTAGGTTAAAAAAAAACTTTACAACCAAGTGCAAATGTAAACAGTGAATCATAATGCCCAACAAACTGAAAAAATGAGTTCAGGAAATAAAGAGAAGCCACTGTTTGTGCATCAGACCACTATAGACATATCTGCCTGGAGTTTAGGAACTTTAAGGTGAGCACAGATCCCTTTAAATCTAGACAAAAATACACAGCCTGGCCAAAAAGTCACACTCTAATATTTTGTTGGACCGCCTTTAGATTTGATTACGGCTTACATTTGCAATAGCATCATTTCAATAAGCTTATGCAATGTCACAACATTTATTTCTGCCCAGATTTTCATTAATTTTTCACCAAGATCTTGTAGTGATGATGGGATAGCTGGACTACTGTGTAAAGTCTTCTGCAGCACATCCCCAAGATTCTCAATGGGGTTAAGGCCTAGACTCTGTGGTGGCCAAACCATTTGTAAAAATTATGTCTAAGTGCTCCCTGAACCACTCTTTCACAATTTGAGCCCGATGAATCCTGGCATTTTCATCTTCAAATATGCCTGTGCCATCATAATGGAAAAACCTTGTCATTAAGTATATTCAGGAAGGCAGCTGACCTCATCTTTTTGGGGACATAACATTGCTAAACCTAGACCAGACCAACTGAAGCAACCCCAGATCATAATACTGCCTGAAATCCAGGTGGGGGTTTGGCCAGGCAGTGTATTTAAACATATATATATAAAATTAATATATTGATCACAATACACACACACTGTATATACAGTATATATATGAATATATACTGTATATACAGTGTGTGTATATATATATTAATTGTGATCGATATATTAATTTTGCTTCATGTGTAATTACCAAATAAATGCCATTTATATAAATAAAAACAAATGATAATTACATATTTGGTCTGTCCAGCAGATCAGGAATCAGCATTCGACCATTGTTAGTTTTTGAAAAGCATCTTCATTAAAAAAAAGAAAAGCTAATCCTTGCATCCCTGTACATTTTCTCTAAGCGTTATGCTTAGACACCTATAACAATACCAAACAGCAATAAAACAGCTGTACCTGTTCTGTGGTATCAAAGAGGATTTAAAGTCTCTTGTTCTGCCTTCCATCTAACACTAGAATAAAGCTATTGGATTACAATAACATAGGTCATCGGGAGACAAATGGCCTGAAGAATTTTGCCAGTATGATACAACATTGGTTTAAATGTAATCCTTTTCCTTTGTGATTGCTTTCTGAATGTATTCAAGATTAAAAATAAGGAACTTAATTGCAGTTTTACTTTGATTTTTTCCTGCAAACAGGGAACAGGCTGTGACTTGACTGACTGATTGGCTGTAAAAAAATTTTTAGCAACTTTAGACCTGTTAAATTATAATATTGCTTACTTTAAGGTATAATATTAGTGACAATAATAAAAGACATGTCCTAAAGAAATATTTTTATCACACTGTGTCTCAAGCTGTTCTTCATCCTCCTACTATGGTTTTTGTGGTAGATTTTTTTTTGTTTGCTAACATGCCATCCACAACAAAATAATAGGATCACCTGACAGAACCAGCAAGAGATCTTTTGCAGAGATGCTAATATACGCTAAAGGAAAATGTGTGAAATTGAAAATAAAAATCACCAGTAAATTTTATAATGAGGCTATACACATATTGAATTATTTTTTATTGTCAGCTGCAATAGTGTTTGTCCAAATTAGTTCAAAGCAGCCTACAGGCCTGGTTATGAGAGCAAGATGATATGTGAGGCAAGCGTCATTTCATGGAATCTGTTTTTTTCTACCTCTAAAACTGAAATAAGTAACTTTCACTTTTATGACTGAATTTGTGGTTTGGCTACAGTTTTCCCTTCACTAGACAAATAAATGTAAGAAACCCATTCCAATAATTGCCTATTTATCTATTATGTGGCCTAAGCCTCAAACATTTGGCAAACATAGCAGGATCCAGACATATATGTCCAAAGTCGCCGTGTGGCAATCACACTCCAAAGGATCTAAATCTTCTGCCCAGCCAAAAACTAGGTAAATGCCATTTACACAGCATTGTGAGGAGCACAGGAATTTCCTAGCCTGTTTAGCTCCAACTAGTGGCAGGAATGCCATGTGAACAACATTCGCCCAACGTATGGCTGAAAAAAAGATCGGCCCCCAACTGTTCTTGCAATATTCCAAGCTTGCATTTTATTTTCTGTTTTCAGTACTAGACACTCAGAAATTCTTGCTTCATATAAACAAAGACTGTAGCCTCCAGGCCCAACTCTGTTTCCACCGAAAGTTGCACAGGTCAGTGTAAGGGTTATGTTTTAGTTGGATTTGCCCATTCAGGTGAAGATCATATAGATTTGGTTTTAGTCTCTGCGGTATTCCTGTTACTATCCTTCAAAAATTATCTCAGCAATTTGTCCTCACAATACACAGGTTTCATCTCCAGCTCAAGAGGCCATTGTAGACACATGCAGGGCCTCAAGTCACACAGGCTCTGCTCCACAC